TGAGGTTTCATCTCACCCCAGTTAGAATGGCTCACATGCAGAAATCTACCAACAACAGATGCTGGAGAGGATGTGGGGAAAATGGACACTAACCCACTGTTGGTGGGAATGCAAACTGGTCAAGCCACTACGGAAGTCAGTCTGGAGATTCCTCAGAAACCTGAATATAACCCTACCATACAACCCAGCCATCCCACTTCTTGGAATTTACCCAAAGGAAATGAAATTGGCAAACAAAAAAGCAGTCTGCACCTTAATGTGTATTGCAGCTCAATTCAATATAGCTAAGACCTGGAACCAACCTAAATGCCCATCAACAGTAGACTGGATAAAGAAATTATGGGATATGTCCTCTATAGAATACTATACAGCAGAAAAAAAAACAATGAAATCCGGTCATTTGCAACAAAATGCAGGAATCTGGAACACATCATGCTGAGTGAATTGAGCCAGTCCCAAAGGAACAAATATCATATGTTCTCCCGCATTGGTGACAACTAACGGAGCACCAAAAAGGAAACCTGTCAAAGTGAAATGGACACTATGAGAAACAGTGACTTGATCAGCCCTTGTCTTGACTGTACATGTACTATTTAATACTTAAACCATTTTAGTATTTTTTTGTTCTACTTAATACTATTGGTTGAACTCTGTAATTAACACACAGTTATTTTTAAGTGTAGAAAGGTAACTGAAAAGTGATCCCTGTTAAATATAAGAGTGGGAATAAGAGAGGGAGGAGATGTACAATTTGGGACATGCTCAATCAGACTTGCCCCAAATGGTGGAGTTAGAAACGTGCCAGGGGATTCCAATTCAATCCCATCAAGGTGGCATGTACCAATGCCATCTCACTAGTCCAAGTGATCAATTTCTGTTCACAATTGATCATAATGATAGGACTAAGAGCCAAAGGGATCACACAAACAAGACTAGCGTCTGAAAATACTTATAGAATAAAAAAAAGGGGAGAACGATCCATCATGGGAAGTGGGATACACAGCAGACTCACAGAATGGCAGATGTCCTAAACATCACTCTGGCCTCAGAATCAGTCCTTAAGGCATTTGGATCCGGCTGAAAAGCCCATGAGAGTATTTCAGCGCATGAAGAGCCAGACACTCTGCGCAAAAAAAAAAAAAAAAAAAAAAAAAAACACAACAACAACAACAAACCTAAATGAAAGATCTCCGCGTGTGGATCCCACTGAAAAGAATGGGTCATCAAAGAAGGAGGTACCTTTCTCTGCAGGGAGGAGAGAACTTCAACTTTGACTACGACCTTGTCTAAATATGATTGGAGTCAGCAAACTCAAAAGGCTTCCATAGCCTTGGCAACTCCTGACAAGAGCCTGGGGTGATTACTGATGCCATAAACAAGAGTGTCAATTTGTTAAGTCAACAACAGGAGTCACTGTGCACTTACTCTTCATGTAGGATCTCTGTCCTTAATGTGCTGTACATTGTGATTTAATGCTATAACTAGTACTCAAACCTTACTTTATAGTTTGTGTATCTGTGTGGGTGCAAACTGTTGAAAGCTTTACTTAATATATGCTAAATTGATCTTCTGTATATAAAGATAATTCAAAATGAATCTTGATGTGAATGGAATGGGAGAGGGAATGGGAAATGGGAGGGTTGCTGGTGGGAGGGAAGTTACTGGGGGGGGGAGCCACTGTAATCCAAAAACTGTACTTTGGAAATTTATATTCATTAAATAAAAGTTAAAAAAAAAAGATGTTATTTGGAATGCCTGGATCCCATATCTGGAGTGCCTGTGTTAGGATCCCATTTCTGCCATGATTCCAACTTCCTATTAATGAGCACACTGGGAAGCAGCTTTCATGGTACAAGTGTTTGTGACCTTGCCAACCATGTGGGAGACACACATTGAGTCCCCAGCTCCCAGCTACAGCCTGGCCCAGCCCTGGCTATTGAGGGCATTTGGGGAGTGAATCAGCAGATGGAAGATCTCTCCCTTTCTCATTCTGCCTTTCCAATTAATCAATCAATAAATAAACATTTTTAAAGTATATTTCAAATTCCATATACTTTTCTCAATCATGTATCTGTCACCTGACTTTGTCACCCTAGGCAAATGTACCTCATTTCCCTGACAGTGATCTTATCACTAAAGAAGGAATAATATTTCCCAAGTAACTGGGAGATTTAGCATGTTTCTGAAGGAGCAAAGCACAGATACCCAATTAGAAGATAGAAAATACGTCAATACTCCCAACTCACACTCCCCCCCACTCCCAAACTCCACCGCAGCAGTTCAGCTTACACTAACAGCTTGGTGTATCTTGAAGACTAACTGGATCTCTGCCATTTTGTATTTACTTACAGGAGTAGAGAATGGTTTTCCTTCTGTCATCTAGCACCATGTGGGAGCAAATCTGCCCAGCTTGCTTTTGTCACATTCTTTCAACATTTCTTTCCCCTGACCCCCACTGCAGGTTTCCACAAGGGGCCTCTAAGATCTCCTTTATTACTGACTTTGTTCTCATCAAATCATAATCCCAGATAATTTGTTAGCTCAGTGGTGCCCCAACAACACTGCCCCCAGCCTGCAGCATTCAGAAATTGTCCTCTAATGGAACCGTAGGTTGTTCTTGACAAGCCAGGAAAACAGCATGCATTTAGCTGAGTTTGGATCAAAGTGACTGCCAGTGGGGCCTGGAGGCACACCACTGCAGAGACTGTCCACTGAACACAGGCACAAGATCATGTTTTACTCCATGAAATATGTAAGATCCAATGGGAGCTTTTAGTGGGCAGGGGGTGGGGGTGGGGGGCTTGCCTTTAGTGACCCTGTTCATAGCCGTTTCTCAGCCATTCTCATGAACAGCCCCAGCAGATTCTAAGGCAAGCATGGAAGGCCCTTCGAGTGCTCTGTGAAATCCTGTGCTGGACAGTTAGCAGAGGATAAGGGCCAAAAAGCTCCTCCCATGAATTCTGAAGCCTGGAACCCATCCAAAACTGCTCCAGGAATGCCGATGGGTTCCAAGGAATCCAGCCCTGGACATTGCTAGGAGGCCTCCCTCGTGTGGTTCCTGTCTTCTCACAGGGACCTGCAGGAGGCCAGGGCTGCCCTGGAGGTTGAGGTTCATTCTGGTTCAAGGCTCCTCAAGCAGCAGCTCAGTGCTGGCTGAAAGAGCAAAAAGGGGTCGTGTGCATCACGGGTGAACCTCGAATGTGTTTCCCTTGATCAAAGAACCAGTCACAAAGGACCGGTGGTGTACACTTCCATTTCTATCAACTGCAGTCATGCCCACTGAGCATGGGTGGCAAGTAAGGGGCAGAAGGGGAGTTACTGAAATTTGACGTTCTTTGGGGGGTGCTAAAACTTGGTGCATATACTATAAACCATGGAATTGTACACTTTTCATGAGTAAAGTATATGGTCTGTGAATTATATCTCAACAGATCTGTTTTTAAAAAAACAAACTGTTCTGAAGTCTATCTTACAATGGACCAAATCCTTGATTCCAGGTTGAGATGATCCAAGTTGTGCTTCTGAACAACCAAAAATCCGAACGCCATGCATTCATTCATTCATTCACTTGTCTATTCATTCTAAATTCCCCAGTGAGTTCTGTGTGTGCAAAACGGGGCCACCTTCTCAGAAACAGAACAGGCCTCCTCATGGCCCCCAGAGGAAGTCTGTCGCTGATGGAGTAGGGCGCTGCAAGCGAGGCTGCTGTCTCTGACACTCTGCAGATGAGGGGCCCAGCTCTTACCAAGAAAATAGTTTTTTCACTACTGCAGAAGTTCCACAGAGCTACCCAAGCCTTACTGCCTTATTTCTCTTAGTCTTGGCCACCCCCACCCCCACTCCTCCAACCTCTGCCAGCAGTGGACTCTCCAAAGCCTCCGGAGGGGAGTACGAAACTTCGAAAAGCAATAGACCTCTCAGTAGACAGAATTAACCTTCTGGCGGGAAACCCAGGTCCCTGTGAAAACTGCACGCAAGCTTCGCTGGAGCAGTACAAAGCCCTCCTGGACCTCATAGCGCAAACCTGAGCTAATCGACAGGGCGTGCTGCCCACAGAGGACTCAGAGCCCAGCTCCAGGAGCCAGACGTCTATGGTCACGCACCTGCGGGCAGCCTCTCCGTCCTGGCCCCACGCGGCTTGTGCTTGCCGGACCCTAACCACGCTGCGCCTTTGCGCACTGGGAGCCCAAAGCCAACTCTGAGGGACGCTTCTCCGCCCAGCCCTGGCGCCGCGCACGCCAGGGCTAGAAGCAGGGAGCGCCGCTCCAGAGGGGTTGAGCGATAGGAGTAGAGGTAGAGAGATCCTCCAACATCCAAGCCGGGAGGAGCATCTCAAAGCCTCCTGGCTTCAGACGCCAAGCAAAAGGCGCTAAGCTTCGGGATTTCCCAGCGCAGAGACGCGGAAAAGAGCGCCTAACTTCAGCACTCTCCGTCAACGCGCTCTGCCCAGCGGCTCCCCTCAGCGGCCAGCTCCCGTCCCTAAACTACCCAAGTCCACTGCAGGTCAGCGCGCGGCCGAGTTCTTCCCTCATGATCTCAACGGGCTGTTCTGCCAAGCTCTCCAAACACAACTTAAATAGAAACTCTGCTGTCTACGAACAGTCAGCCGTTCCCTTAAGACAAATTTCTGAGCCTCTTTCCCACCAGACTATCGCCTTTACTAAGCCCCATTCTAAATTGTAGAGTTGGAGCCGAGCCGCCACGGCACCGCCAACCAAACCCAGCTTCTTCCCGCCTCACGCAAGCTCTCAAGCGCGTGGAAAGCGCCCGGATAACTACAAAAGGTATCTCCGCACTCACGTCACGCAGCGGGGCGTCAGGGTGTCCCGCCCCATCTCCCCTGTCCCCCGGCCCAGGTCTCCAGTCCCTCCGGGGCGCGCACGTGTAGAGAAGGTGCGAGTAATTGCGAGGCGTTTGCAGGTGGCTCGCTCTCCACTTTTCCTACCTCAGGAACACTCTTCGAAGCTGAAACGCAGAGGTGCAGAGAAAGACGGACCTACCTGTTCAGTGCGATGCCCCCAGTTCAGCTTGGGGGTCTCTCCACGCTTGGGGAAGCTGCGCGTTCTGCCGCGAGCTGGTTCTCAGAAGCGCACCACCCTCGCGCGCTTCCCTCCAAGCGCCCTTTTAGTCTCTCCCTCCTTCTCCCTCTCCCACCCCCAGCCTCTCCCGCGCTTCGCTCTCCCTGAGCGCCCAGGATCAGATAAGAGGGAAGGCAGGCCCGCGGGCGGCCAATTATAGGGCGGAAGGTGGCCAGGAGGGCGGGAGGGAGAGGGGGGAGGCAGGCCTAGGGCCCTAACCTCACCCCCCCAACCCGCCTCGACTCCGCTTTTCCCCTCCTCCTCTCCCCCATCCCCGCCCCACAGGCGATGCGGAGGAGTCCGCCCCGCGCCTTCCCCACGCGCTCCCACCCGAGACCTGGCTGCAGCCGGTGCAGTGCGCCAGGGGCTGGCCGCTCCTGTACCAGCCGTTCTGGAGGCCCCGGGGTCTCGCGCTCTCCTGGCTTCGTGTGCTCGGTGCCTACCTCCTCATCCTCAAAGACCCGTGCTGCCTTACCGCGTGGGAGACCCCGTGCTCCGGGATTGTGGGTGAGGCGGACGGGACCCGATCCACCGTAAAGACTCTCTTGGGTCTTTTCCATCCGCCCCCCTGCCGCCTTTACCCCCTCATAGCCCTCAGAACAGGGCTATAAACGCCAAAGCAGCGATGCTCAAACTGCAGAGTGCAGGCGTGTCGAAGTGGACATTTTCGTTGGTTAGAAAATCACCAAGGCAAGCGGATTCCTGCGGTTGGACTTCGCACCTGCAGGGTCCCCGCCTGCAGAGATTCAGGCGGGCTGCAGGGCTAGGCTGAGGCCGGGGACCTGCGTTTATTAAACACCGCAGTGGGTTGATCCACGCAGGCCACCCTTTTCAGGTCTCTGCCCTGAGACGCTCTCCCCACTCTGACCTCTTAAATCCGCATCCGTTTTTACACCCCTTCTAGAACCGTGTAGAATCCACCCCCTCGCCCGCTCTATTTTTCACCACCTGGCTTGTTAGGTGTGTTCAAAGGTGACGGGGAGGGCGCATAGAAACTAGGAATCTAGCAAGACCCTATTTTTTATGAGAAAAGTCATTTCTCGCCTTCAAAAGAAGCTATCCCACCACGGACAGAGGCTGAGGATGTGCAGAAGAGCAAGGGCAAGGGCTGTCTTAGAAGCTCCGGCCCTGCCTCCGCCCTGCACCGCCAAGCATGCAGGAAGGGGCCACAGCCACTTTGGGATCCATTTCAGGGTGGGCCTTCCCACGACCTGGCTGTTGAGAGCCGCCGCCTCTGCGTTCCGTGCGTTTGCGTGCTATTCGCGGCCCTGCCCATGCCCTGCGCACTTTGCCCCCCAGGTCCTGCGGTTGGAGCGGAGAAGGCCAGCTCCAGACCCCGCCACCGCCCAGTGGTCTTGGCAGGAGTTGGCCTCGGCTCGGGCGCAGTGTGCAGCTGCAGCCAGGCGCCACTCCGCCTCCGCACTTCACTGCAGGCGCAGCGCAGCTTTCTGGGAGACGGATTCCCCGAGCGAGGGCTCCCTCGCAGAGCGGCCAGAGTGAGAGCGCCACCTGGTGTTCGGATGGGGCGGGAACTGGAAAGGGCCCCTCGCCCTAGACTTGACGCGCACGGAGCTGAATTCCTATCGTTTATTCCCGGAGATAACTACCATTTTATTATCTCTTCCTCTGCCCTCGAACAGGTGATTTTTATCCTCATATTCTGTTCCCAGTTTTCACTAATAAAACTTTTTTCTTATGTTCATTTCTACCAAGATGCAAATGACCAATATAAGCCTTTCTTTTAATTCCCTTGAGGGAAATAGCTGCATGTTAACACAAACTTTTAGGTAAAACTTCCAGGAATACCTTTTATTCATTAGAGAAAACTGGGACTGGGAGATTCCCGGATGATTTTACAATGTAAAACGTATACAAAAAAATCCAGATACAAGTAGACATGCATATTTGAAAAATATTGTATGATGATGTGTATTGGTGTACTAATCGTATTAAATGCTATTTTTAAATTTTCTAACTTGTACTCATCGTTTTTAACGTTTGACTTCTCCCCTTTCACTTTATAAATAGGCTTCAATTAATGCTGAATAAGAATAGCTAGTTGCAATCAATTTCCCACTGAGTCACAGTTGGATGTGAATTTCCAGACCTTTCAACTGTTATCTTAGGGTGAACCCTAGCATCTGGTAGAGTACAGAGAACTGAACCATAGAAAAGACCAGAAGACGGCACCCGCCAAGGGTCTCCATCCTCAGTCTAGGAAAAATTGCATAAGCTTATGTGGTGCCTTTTCAAAGATAACAAAAATTCCAGCTTCCCACTGGGATGGATCTTGAAGCTCTACAACTCTCCCCCAGAGTGTCATCAAGAGTTTGTGGTGTGATTATAAACCTCCTCCTCTCTAAGGAACACACACACACACACACACACACACACTATTGCCCCTTTCTTCTCCGTGCCCTGGAACCTTGCAGGAAGACTTCGGGGTAAACCTGAAAACCTGAATTGAAGGGCTTTGCTGCCCCTTGTTTTTTTCACTTCAATGATTTAGCTTCTCTGAGCCTAACTCCTCAGAGAAGAAGAAAATTATAAAGAATTAAGAAATAACAGCTATATTATCTACACTAGAAGAAGAAAATGACAGCTTTATTATCCACACTGGGATCACCCCCCTTAAGTCCATTGCCCATGACAGTGCTGTCTTCAGCAATCCTGCTGGAAGATTCTCCCCTGTTTCTCAACAGAGGTGCTACTGGCATTTGGGGCAGGATATCATGACTTTGTAAAATATTTATCATCCCCGGCCCCATCAACCAAATTCCAGTAGAACTACCCCTTCTCCTAGTCATGATAAAGTCAGTAATATTATGAAAATAATACCAGCACACCTCCTGCATGAATAGCAAAGCATTTCCAGATGAGAGTTATTTGCTCTTTAATAACCTGTTGTAATCCCTGTCTGTGCCCCCAAGCCTGGTGTCTGGTAGGTAAGCATCAGCTGATAATATGACTTACATATGAACATTAACCCCAGCCCAAGTCCCCACTTCCTGCTCCCATGTTCGTCCCTCCAGGACCCAAGGGTCCATGTGCCTTCTGATTGACCAGTGTCCCTGTCAGACTGGCTGTTGAGTACTTTGTTTTTCACCCTAAAGATACAAAGCCCTGAATTCCTTTAGGAGGTCACCTCCACTTCACTGGATGTAGTTGCTGGGGAGAGTAGGCTGTTACTTAGGATGCCCTGCTTCCACCTAGCCAAGTGTAGACAAAAGCTCTAAACTAAGCCAACCAGATGCTCTCCCTGAAATGTATTAAAGGCTGGGACACAAGAGCAGGGGGAAAAAAGTGTTTTCCCAATTTTTTACTCAAGTTCGTCCTAATAAGGCTATCTGAACCATTACTTCTTACCCCCAGACACATCTCACATCCAGCAGGAACACACCAGTACAGCTTGCACTGACTGAGAATCATGAAATGCTCCCGTACCAGTTGGTGAATTGCTGCTGTCCCAAAGTCCTGAATGCCTTCTCCCCCATCACCTTCCTGGACCTACAACTCCAACTCTCTTTGATCCAATGACTGAAAAGTTGAATCAGTTGATGGCCTCTAGATCACTGCTCAAGTGTGGCTACTGGCATCCATTTTATCCATTGTGATTGGGTTGTCCTTGTACCATCCTGGGTGTTCAATTTCTTGAACCCCAGCCTTGACCAGAGCCCCAGATATCTGGTCCCTGCCCTCCCTGAAGCTCTGCCTGGGTTGCATTAGAAATCTCCATTTATTTTGGATTTGATTTCTTTCCCTATTAACAAACCAAGTCAATCTGTCAACCAAGTTGACTCAACCAAGTCAAACTGTAGTTTACCAGTCCAAAAGCTGGGACAAAGGACTTGTCCAAGCTTACCCGTAGTCCCATAGTGTTAACAGAAAAGTCAATACTAGAATTCAAAAGTCTTAAATTCCAGGCCAGAGCTTTGCCCACAATAGCATGCTGACCCCTTTTCAAAAATATTAATAATTAGGAGTTTGCTTGTTAAATCTGTCCATGTGCATCACTGTATCTTAATTTGTTAGCCCTTCGGGTATGAAGAATTCCAGAGGTTCGAATCATATTTCCCTGTGCTGTCCGTTGTGGTGCTGGAGTCCTTCTCCGCACAATTGCCTTTCATATTCTTGAACCAGTGATTAAGGCATTCCTCATCTTTTCAGCTCCTTGGCCCAGATCAAAGGCATGATTTTGACTGCAGCCAAGTTTTTCATGTGTGACAACACCCTGTCAGTGTATGCATGCTTAATAAAAGGTTGCATTGGAGCAGGACTGAGAGATGTACCTACTCATTTTACAAATGAAGAAACTGAGGTCCAGTGAATTAAATACCCTGTGCTAATCCCCCCAAAAAGGACAGTGGCGGATAATTCTAGATGCAATATTGTCTAACAAGAAGTCAAGATGTCTGCCAATAATAATGTCCTAATAAAAAGATGAACTTTTATTGAGGGTCTTTGGATGCTAGATAGGCTAAAAGAGCTCACATGATTATTTTAAATTATTATTTAGGGGCCAGCACTGTGGCTTAGCAGTTTAAAGTACCACCTGCAAAGCCAGCATCCCATATGGGCACCAGTTTGAATTCTGGCTGCTCCACTTTCCATCTGGCTCCCTGCTGATGTGCCTGAGAAAGCAGTGGAAGATGACTCAAGTGCTTGAGTCCCTGTACCTATGTGAGAGACCCGAATGAGTATCCAGGCTCCTGGCTTTAGCCTGGTCCAGCCTTGGCCTTTGCAACCATTTGAGGAGTGAAGTGGGTGGAAGACACCTCTCTCTCTGCCACTCCTTCTCTTTCTATAATTCTGCCTTTCAAAATAAATAAATAAATAATTTAAAATTTGATGTCTTAAAATAATTCATAAGTGTGTTTTTATTTTTTAATTTATTTGACAGGTAGAGTTATAGACAGTGTAAGAGAGAGAGACAGAGAGAAAGAGAAATACAGAGAGAAAGGTCTTCCTTCCATTGGTTCACCCCTGAAATGGCCGCTACTGCCGGCACTGCACTGATCCAAAGCCAGGAGCCAGGTGACTCCCCCAGCTCTCCCATGTGGGTACAGGGGCCCAAGCACCTGGGCTATTCTCCACTGCCCTCCCAGGCCATAGCAGATAGCTGGACTG